AAAAAAAAAAAAGAGACAAAAACTTCAATTTTTCCTTAGGAGCAGGGAAAAATGTGATACCATCCCAAAAGGGATGCAATAAGCACTGGAAACGGCTGACCTGCTGTAAGACATGAAAAAGTGGCATCTTAGGAGCCTTGCTCCCGTTTAAATCAGTGGTATTTTTGCAAGTGACCTCAGTGAGAGCAGGAATCCAGCCTGTGGTCTTAGGGGTGTCCATGTGGAGAACATTATTTATAAGCACTGGCAGCCAGCAGCCTATTGAGGCACAACTCAGCTGCTCAGAACAAGCTGGGCATTCAAATGTGCTCCTCCAGCCGGATTTTCGAGAACTTCTAATCCAAACCGAATGAGATGGCTAAGAGGGAAAATTTAAAAAAAAAAAGAAAAAAGAAAAAGAAAAGAAAATCACACGATCCTGCAGGAAGAGAGCAAGCAAATGTTGCCCAGGCTGCTCACACAAGGTACTTCACAAGGACGGAGAGTCCTGGGCACTCACAGCTCCGTCCTTTCAAACAAGGAAAGAGGCTGAGGCAGCAGCATAAGGGGAGCATCTAGCAAAGCACTGCACCTCACCAGGAGAACATGCAGGACACCTAGGAAAAATGAGAAACTCAAGACAGATGAAGAAGTAAATAAACGCAGCTTATACTAAGCAGTGAAGTTTCTCATTCAGAATTGTTTTGTAGAAAAGGGTTTGCATTTTTTATTAGCATCCAAGGAGTTTGTTCTATATGAGGATATAAAATCATCAGTAATCAGTACCATTGTGCTCTTCAGAAGTGCTAAGATGAGGAGTCTCAAACTGAGTAAATAGCACCTGAGCTGAAAGACCAAACTCCAATCTGAAACTTGAGCAATTCCTATTTCATGGAGATGAACAAGGAAAATCTTCTTTCACATTCAGTTATAGCCTTGAATTTGGAAGACTTCAAGAGACCTAGATGCAGTCCTAAATCCCCATTCTTAAACCTGATGTCAAAACACTATTTACTTACAAACTATCCTTATGAGCACAGGCCATCTCAACCCTGATCAGAGCAGAAATGTCAGAMTAACCTTGCTGTGATAACATTGTAACTCCTGCCTCTGGGAACCACAAAGGTGCAGGACCAGTGCAAGCTTCTACATTGGTTTAAATCTGACAGTGTTTTTCCAGATCCAGATGGAGTAGTTGAAAAGGTTCAGAAGGGTTTTCAATTTACAAAATTTCAAAACTTTTTCCCAATTCTAATCTAAAGCATCTTGCATTTACTGACACAGATTAAAGCACATTCATATTTTCTTGCTTTATATTAAAAAAAAATATATAGTACACRAGACTGTTAATGAGTCCCTTCCTTTTCCTTCACACTTTCTTGGCCCAAGCCATGGAAAACTGGCAGATTAGCAAAACAGGAGCAATACAACAGAGCAGCAGATGTTAATTCCTGTGCAATAGGATTTGGGGGAGAAGAGGAAGAACCAAGCCTGATTGAAGGCAACAAGTCACCTTTCCTTTCCTTCTCTCCTTACATGACATTTGATTGCAAGTTTTAAAATTGGCTCACAAAAATATCTAGAATGCTCCCCTGTAATTAAGAAGTAAACAGTATATGCCCAGTGCTAACTGCAGGGCGGTTTAAATAGGTCAATCCAAGGCTTGTAACAAAGAGCTTTTAATAAGGTGCCCAAAATAAACGAGGATTTTGTGCCTACTCCAAAAGCAAACAATGAAATCACAGAAGTCCAAGACTCACAGACCCCTCCAAGGGCTTTACCTGTTAAGATGATGATTATGACCACAGCGAAGATGTCTGGGTATTTGGCTAGCACTCCAGGGGCATCCATAGTCATGTATTTCTTACAGAAGTCTTCGATGTGCTGCCCTATGATTTCATCAAACGTTGCGCTCCACGCTCTGGCCACGCTGGACGTGCCTGAGGAGAGGACAGACATGGTGCAGATCACTTCTCATGGTTGGCACATACTCTAAACCAGGGCACCTTGTACTTGCCTTAAGTTAAAGCCTGGAATGTTCTTTACATCCTACATCAGTCTTCACCTCCTTGTAAGTTTTGACCTTGCAGTCTGTGCTGCTGTGGAGCTCTGAGTCTCTGCTCATGCTGGCATGAATTACTAGGTATGTTTCTATGCCAGGGCAACTACAGCCCAGACAGAGAGACCTTCTATGAGGCAGCTTGGCTCATGACAGTGCAAGGCTGGAGCACCGGAGCCCTGATTGCAAACTCACCTCAGCAACACCACTAGTCTACTCTGGCAACCTGTAGGTCAGCTCAGACTCTGCTACTGGAGTATCCGAGTGGGATGAAGGCACATCTGGCTCAAATGCAGTTTTAGGTTACCTGAGCTTAAGTTATTATACATCAGGATCTCAGTGCTAAGTGCAGCAAGTGACAAGGCTCTCCCTGCACTAAGCACTAAAACCACCCCCTCCATGGCCTCTACTTCCAATGTCAGGAATAACGAGGCAGGCAGCCCTTGCTAGGGTGAGCACCGAAGCAAAGGTCTCACAGTGACCACGTCTGGGACATTAWCCGGGCCACAAGAGCCATTTGGGAGAACAGGAACAGCAAAGAGGCMGCACCAAGGAGTGACGGCACCACACAAAATAAACAGGTTTGGGTAACAGGCAGGTTACTTCTTTCTCTCCTTCTGTGTTACAGGAGTTACCATTCTAGCAATGTCTCTCACAGTGTATTGCATGTAACAGCATCTAATTGCATGATATAATGAGTACATCATTATGTACTTATTTAACTCCTGGTTAAAACAGGAGTTGCTTTGGTTTTGGTTGGCAGAACAATTCTTTACACAACTTGGTCTGGGTCCACTTTTGCCTAGAACAGTTTGTCCTGACACATGAATAGTGTGAAGTCAAAGAGACTGGGTCTGATACAGGCAGGTTTCAGCTTCCAACTCTGGGCTCTTGCAATTGCATTAAATTAGGTCTGTGCTTATCCAGAGCTGAAACCTCTTCAGGGATGGATCAGCACCATCTGCAGTAAAACCRGGAACATTCATCATGCCAATCTCGCTTTCCAGCAGCATAAACATAACCCAGCAATCGGACAAACCTGGATGTGGTTCTGCGTGCTATCATGGAGAGGTGAGTAGGGAGAAAGCATTTGGAGAGATGAGAGATCCACACCATCAGGCAGCAGGGCATTTACCTTCGAAAAACTCCAAAGTTACTGTGTATCATGCTGAAATTGTTCAGTTTCCTTCAGTGCTGTTCTGGAGAAGAGGCTATTTCTTTAGTTCTGTTTGGTTTTGTGGGTGTTTTTGTTGCTGTTGTTGTTCTGACTGTGATGTTTCATGTGCTAGGACAAGAACAGCCAGCTCCTGTATTCTTTATTTTGGAAGCCGGTTTCACATAACTCTCAACATAACCAAATCCTTGAGGGAGTGGGAGGAACCTGACATGCTGCAAGCATTGCAGACACCCAGGTAACATCTTTACTTGGGCTGGAAAGCACGGAGCAAAGTCACCAGGCCGTGCAGACAACGTGTGTCCGGAGGACTGATCCATTCCAGACCAGTTCAGAATCAGTTCAGGCCAGTTCAGCCCTGCCAGAATCAACCTGGTTCCTGTCCACATCCACCCAGGGCTTATGAGCTGTGGTGCAGACCTCCTGCTCCCTCCCATTACATGAGCAGATATGGACCAGGAGGTGACCACAGGCCCCAGGAATCCCCTTTGCTTGAACTATGGAAACTCTCCAAGGATGCTGCTACTCACTGTCCTATGAGCTCCCCAGGGCTCCTATCTACTCCTGGAAGGCTTCCACAGTCTGGCATAGTTCCCCACAGCTTTAGAAGGAAGCCCAGACCAGCTTCTGATGCTGAAAGCCCTTTCAAGGCAGATGATAACCCCAAACCAACCACACACCCACCTCATCTGTCACCCACCTGCAAGGTCTTGTGTGAGCTCCAGCCCCAAGCCAGCCCCAAACACCCGAGCCCAGCCAAGCCCAACCTAACCACACGGCTGAAAGGACATTGCTGCCATCCTGCTGACTGCTGCTTTCCCACCTTGGCTAGACAGCCCTTGCGTGGTCCTCTTGCCACAGTCTCCTACTACCTCCTCCCCCAGGCCAAGTGACAGTTAATTACATGTTAAAGTTCCTCTGTGGCCCAGCACTACCCAGCAATTCTTTTCCCCCTCCACACCACCTCACTTCCCCCGGGCTGAACAGCAGTCACAGAAGCCCCAGTGTGAAAAACCACCGAGGTGGCCAAGTCCCTCGGAGCTGCAAGTTCCCACCAGCTCAGCCGGTTTCGGCGGCACCGCTCTGCGTTTCCTGCAGCACAATGAATGCAAACTTGGCTGCTGCCCCAGCTCTCCACCACAGAGTGTGCCGGCCAAAGATCCTTCCCTCTGGCACCCCTGGAGTGGTAGGAGGTGTCCTGGGCTCAGCAGGAGGGCAGCGAGCACRGGGAGAAGGGCTGGGTGAGATAAAGAACAGCCTTGATACAGCCCGTGTCCTCTGCTGAGGTGCTKTTCTGCTCGGCCACCTCCCTCCCGAATTAGGAAGCAGACAGTTTCAAACTTGAATTGCTRTCACAGTAACAAAGTTGTGTCATAACACATTCATGGATGATATCTAGCTTATTTTTATGACATTTTCTGCCTTACTACCGTAAACCAAGCAGCCAACTCTAACATAACAACTGAGGCAGTAGTTCAAAAGCTGTTATGAGAGGACAAAATCACCCCAAAATATCATTTTCCACCTAGATCCTGCGAGTGTGATGCTATTTTGGTAAATCTCATTGCGCAGAATCAAGTTTTGTGGTGCTTCCTTGGCCTCTCCACAACTACATCCCTCATTTTTGTCGTGCAGTGGCGTTGCAGGAAAGGCCATACAACTAACTAGATGGAGAAGCCTATCATTACCATTCTGGAAGAGAAGATAAATCATTAAGAAATTCATTCAATTTTCCCACAGGTAACCTAAACAGAATCCATTTTAGGAATCGGGAGGAAGTTTTATATTTAATTTGCTTTAAAACTTTTTATCCTCTACCTGCAATGAACCTGACCCAAAAATCCACTGCATTGATGCTTCCTAAGGAGGTGAGTTTAAATGACTCTGACTTTTCCTCTCATTCCTCGTTAAGAAAAAAGGAGCAAGAAGTTTCAAGCAGCACAGAACAGAGCCAGCACCACCTCAGGGAGCTGAGAGGCCTGAGAAGCAGCTGCTGCATTGCTCTGTATTTCTGGACATGCTCGTACCCTCCTGTGCCCAGCACCACGGGAACAAATGCCCAGGGGAACAGCTGCACATCCCGTAAAACTCAGTTAAAAAAACCCAGCTCTCTTTGGTAATTCAGCAGAATATCGTTTTCCATTTTAACTAGCAAGTCTTCTCTCTGAACAGACAAGTTGGTTGCAGCTTTGATTACAGGCACGATGACAAGCAGCGTGCCCAGAACATGCCTGATGAGGCAGRAGCCTCATAAAGATTCACGCCGCCTTAATTAGCAAAATGGGGCTGAGCTTTAATGTATCAGCTGAGTTGCACACGCTCAGAGCTCTATCCAAAGCCTCTCTTGGCAGGAGTCACGGACTTAGAGGGGATTTGGCTTGGACCTTTCAGAGTGTGTGAACCTGCAGCTCACCCTTAGCCTAATCTACAACCACTCGTGAGAAAATATTCGTGTCTCCAGATACTTCAAGCAGTTTTCAAAGGCACCAGAAATTATTTCATAATGAGCCAGGAGGGCAGATGCTGCTGTGCAAAGGCATCCTGCTGTCAGCTGCTGCTTCCTTCGCAGGAGGAAAACACACTTGCTTCCTGCCTAGGTTGTAGCAGCCAGGGGGATGCCACATGGATAACGTGGAAGTCCACAGAGCCCACAGCTGCAGTGATAACCCAGCCTCAGCACAGGCTCTCACCCTGCAGTGCATCACTCGCTTCCCAGAGCACAGGGGCCACCACCAAGGCCCTCCTGCAAGAGGGTCCTGGAGCCTTCAGCGAGTGCAGGCGAGCAGGTTGCTTCCTTTGACAGCAGTGCAACACCACCAGCAAGGCTGACCTTACCAAGCTGCCCTTTGGAATAAAATCCTGCTGTGCTTCTGCTATACTTACCGATAACATAGGAAAGAATTAAATTCCATCCAGTAACGAAGGCCCAGAGCTCCCCAACGGTCACGTAACTGTAGAGATAAGCCGAGCCCGTCTTAGGTACCCTGGCACCAAACTCTGCATAGCAGAGGCCGGCCAGCACGGAAGCCAGAGCAGCGATCAGGAAGGAGATCACGATGGCAGGTCCTGCGTTTTCTCGGGCCACGGCTCCGGCCAGCACGTAGACACCCGCACCCAAGGTGCTGCCGACACCCAGAGCCACCAAGTCAAACGTGTTGAGGCAGCGCGACAGGCGACCGTCTTCTCGGGTACAGTCCACGTTTTTCCGGCGAAGAAGCTGGTTTCCAAAGTTGATAAGTCCCTGGCACCCCATCTTCTTGTTTGGGCCTGCAAGAAAGATGTTGTTGTCATTAGCTGAATCACCCCTACCCCAAGAAAGCACCCAGTTTAATACTGCAGCTTTGTCACCCTTAAGCAAAAGCRTCTTCTCACTTTCCTTTCCCTTTTATTACAATGCAAAACAGTTGTAATGGCATTTTATCTAGGCCTGTCACAGGGATTTAAAAAAAAGAAAATAAGTAGAGCATTTTTCTCCCTCCTACTCCTATCCACACCAAGAAGGATGTGCAATCCTGGAAGAGCAAACTGGGTTCTACCACAGCCCTTGTCCCAGGAAGAAAACTCATCTGATTCACAACTACAAAGGCTACACCAAAGCACGCAAGCCAAAAAAAGCACAGCCTGTCCTTCAGATTTCAGGGTGGTTTCCTGGGCTAGGAGTTAAAAAAGATATATGTACAGATAGAWAGATGTAGGCTTGGACAGATATATAGAGATACTAAACACTGAGTTTCAGAGAGGTGAATGAGCAGAAGTTACAAGCGCCACGTCCCAAAATATGGTACAGTTGAGTCCTACACGTGCTACTGTCCCTAGGGCACAACACAACCCCACRCCTCTGAGTTGCACTCTGTTGCCAAAAGAATACACCCAGGGACTTTCCCTGTGTGTCAGTTGGCTCAAAATTAATGAAAACTTCAGAGAGCAGAGGGAGAGTTTTTTTTCACAGCATTACCCAAGTCCACGAGTCCAGTATTTGATGGGATTTCCTGCTTCTTACATGGCCAGGTCTAGTCTCAGTTGTCACAGGTTACCCCAACACAATATCTCCTCCACAAATTGTTAAGCACTCCCTTTAAACTTGCTAGCTCCTTATCTCCCATTTTGAAAACCTCCACTGACACTCTTCTACCCTCCAGCCAAAATGCTTTAATAGACWGTGTTCCTTCACATGTTTCTGTGTGAAGAGTGGCCTTTCTGGTGTTCAACCCCGTGTACTTGTAGAGATCAGTCAGAACCTCCCAGTGTCCACAAAGCTCCACGTTCCAGAGAAACTGGAGGCTCCCTCTCTCTGCAAGTGCTCAACTGYGGTCTCCACAGCAAGGGAATGGCAGGGTGTCCCATTAGCTCCCTCCTCCTCTTTGTGCCAATCATCTAAATCGTATAAAGAATTAACAAGAACATGCCAAGACCAACCGCTGAACGCTGTGCAATTCCCTCTGCAAGAATCTATCTTCCTTGTCTAGTCCCTGGCTTCTCATTAACAAACTCCCTGTGCACCCTGCAAGCTTCCTACTAGTCTTCTTCTTAAGTAATTTCCCATATGGCACCGTATCAAAAGCTTTAATCAAGTAAAGATAAAAGAGCTGTCATCCTTCCCCCTCTCCTTAGAAAACAAAACAAACCAAAAAAAAAGCACCAAAGCACCCCACCTTCCCCATATCTCCTAGCAAATTAGCAAACACAACTATCCGATGCGTCTGTCAGTGTCCCACAGCTAAATCCCTTTATCTTTCTGCTATTCCTCAGCCAACTGGCATCATCTCTGTTTGACAGGTTTTGCTTTGCTCTTCCACCACTGATTTCATGCCCTGATTCATYCTGACTTCCCCTTGAACCTTCTCTTCTGAGTTTTGCTGCCCACAGGTTTTATCCATTTTCTTCAGTCGTTATTCTGTCATCCTACCTCCCTGCCCAGCATCATCATCCACGTTCAGAATTTGACTGCTGGATACCATGGTGTTCCTCACAGCTAGGAGGCTTCTTTGTAGGACTTGCTGGGTTAATTCTAACACAGAGATGCAGGAAATCGTGAACTGAAATGCACCATGATCATGGGGGCTGTAACACAGCACGTTCTTGGTTCTGAATGGGTCACTGGCCCAACACTTGCGACAAGCCCCAGGAAGCTTCAGCATCACCAGAGAACCTCCCTGGAGCCAAGACTGCAGAAGATCTTCACCTGAGTAACACAGACGTGTGCTGTTACTGACAACAAACTGTAAAGTTTCTACAGATTTGGCTGTAGGCTCCAAAACTGCTATCTCAGGACATCATTCAACTGCTTAAGGGTGCAGCACATCAGCGTATTTGTTCCTGGCAGAAACAATTCAGAAGTAAATGGCCCTTCTGCCCACACTGCTGTTCCCATTGCAGGGTGGTCATGGGATGCACAAGCTGGGTGCCATTGGGATGAAGCTAAACCAGATATGCCGCAGGGTCCATCTAACACTCTCCAACAACCACCAGCTCTTGAGCCCACAAGAAGAGCCAGGAGCTTGTTCGAATTGAGCTCGTTTGGAGAACGTGAAATGCAGACACCAGCTCCTCAGCAGCAACCCTTCTGCTCTGCAAAATGGCTTTGGGCCACCCTGCTGGCTCCTGCACACAGGACTTCCCAACGGCGAGAGAGCCGGTGGGCATGAAGAGCTGCTTCTCTCTCAGGAGGCCACCAGGAGCTCAAAGGTGCCCCAGATTCATCCCAAAGCTGCCCCTTCAAGCCCAACTTCCGCAACAGGGCTTTTAGTTGCATCTTCATTAAATATGGAAAAGGAGAAGAGTTATTCATCCAGATGCAATGCTGCACCGAGACATTCACTTTCAGGGCAACGGCTGACTGTGAATCAATAACAGAAGGGAAATATGCATTGTACACTAACATCTGTAGCATGCACAAAATAACATATAGCTAAATACACTGCTAAATGCAATTTGCAATATGGGCACGTGAGGTTTGTATTTCACCTGCTCCAGCTAAAGCCCAGAGTAAAAAGTGGAAAAATACCCGCAAAGAAATTGAATTAATTGAGACAGCAATTAAATCCAGTGTTTCAATTTTGTCACCCCAGCCTCAACTACAAAATCAAACAACTCACTTTTCTAAGACACCAGTTATAAATCCTAGCTTAACTCTCTTTCCCCTGGCCTTAAGCCTAGCCCTCCTACTATGAAAGGTAATTATAATTGCAGAACAAAGTTGAGGATTTCAAAGCCCTGCCGTGTCCAAAATTGTCTAGTCTGCCAACAGCTCTCAAAGAGCAACCAGGCTCAAGAGAGACACGGATTCAAACAAGCGGAGGAGGATCTCACCAAGGTCAGTCCTACAAAAATCTCATTTGGAGAACCATGGGAACTTCCAAAGCACCATGGAGATGAAAAGCTGTTTTCTCCCTTYGGGGGAAGACAAGCCTGGTTTTATACGTCAGTTCATCCACACGCTCTCTCCTGCACCTAAATCTTGGGCAAAGATGTGTCACAGTCTGAGCTGCTTTCACTGGACAGCCACAGGCTTCCCCAAAAGCAGGGCAGGTGCTGGCACGAACTGCAAATTGGGCTAGGACAACACGAGCCCTGCAGCAAAACCTGCAGGAATTCACTGCAAATGAATTTGCTCTACAGAAAGACAACATGAGTCCTAGGCAGAACTCCCATCAGYGTGGTCAAGGGATCCACTAAGGTCCAGGCCCATCCACTAAGTCCCAGTCCCTTCCTTAGAAAGGACACGGTGGCAGGGCTGACTTGTCCTTCTGGAGAGCAGCAGCAGATGTCTCTACTCAAGCAGAAACTTCAGGAAACATGGAAAATTCCAGTGCTGTGGAATCAGCTACCAAACTGCTTCTGAGGGCATCCTGAAACCTTTCACCTTGGGTTGAGGCTTCAGGATCAGGCCTTCCCAAACTCCAGCGACTGGGGTTTATTCTGTGATTCTGTCTGATTTGCACACCTGAGTTAGCACCAGCCTTGCTGAATACACCCAAGTTTATCCTACCAAGTGCTGAACTTCTCTTATAAAGAAAACGGAGCTGAGGGGAGGCCGGTAACCTGCAGGCCATGTAGCCTGAAAACCACAAACGTGCCCTGTGCTCTGCCACCAGTGCATACATAGAAGTTTCTATGAGGCCTACACAAGAGCAATGGGGCTAACTCCGAGTTACAGGTGGCACTAATGAAGCATTTACTTTGAGCAGGTAAGTGACCTACCAACTGTCTCCATATACTCCAAAGCCCCGGGGAGGAGCTGCTCTGAGGGGAGCGAAAGCAAAAGCTGGGGCTGTGCAGCCTCCTCCTCTAATAAACGCCACCGGTCCAAGCTGGGCTGTGGTTCCTGGTGTCCAGAGCCACCCTCCCTCGCTCTTCTTTTACCATCACTAAAATCCAAGGAGTTGCAGATAAGACCCTTCCAGGACTCAGCTCAATGCCTCYGCTTCAAAAACTTAATGCCTAATAAGAACTGCAGACCATTTCCTACACAGCCATTTAATTTGCATTTAACTAAACCCAGCGTCTTCCAAAACGAACATAGTCAGGCACCAAACCAATGGAAATCTTCTCTCTGCACTGCAGACGAAGGCCTATGTGGAACCTGCCCTCCCTTGTCACCCACTCAAGGACAAATCCTCTTTGGGCCTAACTGGGCTGGGGAGAAGTAACCTCTGTGTGACGGAAACAGTCCTTGGGGATGATCTCTATAGGTCCCTTCCAACCTCAACCAGTCTGTGATTCTACGAAAAATAGTGACTTGCTCCAATCTCATAGCCCAAGAGTTTCCCACGACATTCTGGGGCTTCCTCACCCATCACTATTTACACTATTTRCAGCTATATCACTATTTACAGCTGTACGGCGGCCATCAGGAATCAAGCAGAATGGCTTTTTAGGGATAATTTATTTAGAGTTGGCACTAATTAATTATCACAGACATTGAAACTACTACTGGCTTCACGTCAGCAGGCAGTTGTCTTTGTCTGGATTTCAAAGTCAAGGTATCTACTTTTCTTTCCCTTACAAACTTGAGGAAGTTTCTGCATTTCTCTGGGCACCAAATGGCCTCTCTGGGCCTTGCAGGTAGGCAGGGTGCAGGGCCCCCAAAGGGCAGCCCTCCTGTGCACTCCCCACACCCCACGTTACCTCAGATGAACGATGGCATCCTGCAGATCTCTTACACATTTTTGTTGCTTCTGAAGCAGAAGGCGACAAATCAACCTTTCACTTTCAATTATACCCAAAGCAGCCTGGCAAAGTGACCTTCAGCAA